GACATGTGACATGAATATTCAATGATATCATGATAAAAATTCATTTCACGAGAGAATAATCTATCTTTTACGATGCTACTAAGCAGCATCGGGAACGAAGCATTACTTTGATCAAGCAATCAAACACTTTTCTCAAAACTAATATTGCTTAAGTCAAAACGTAAATTTCCTACGCAGAAAATACTCTTTAGTTATGAAGAAGCATTGTAGGGGCCTGCATATTGTCACGGATTCAATTAAAATTGATTGATTTTCAATTGTGAAAGAAAAAAAGAAAAAAGGAAAAAAGGAAAAAAGGAAAAAATAAAAAATTTAAAAAAACATCACGAATTTTTCATTTGATCGAATTTAGTAAGCAGTAACATGGTAATCTGGATCGCGCCATTTTCAATAAACCAAATCGCACACAGCACTACCATTATTATATCTCAACAACATCCCGAGCGACACGTGCGATATCGTCGACTTGATAAGCCCCTCGGCTTTCTAATGTACGCCCGAGCGAATTTGAAGTACGTTAGCGGGCCAGGAGGAATGAAAATTAAGGTTGCAAAAGTATGTAGGAGGAGGATGGTCCAGTCGAATGGGCCATTAAATGAACGTACACGAACTGCGAATGGGATTTAGGTAGAAAAGGCGGAAGTTCGCGCGGTCAATGATGGTGCACGGTGATATATATATATATATATATATATATATAATGGTTAAGGCCAGTCAATAGTCGACATTCAATTAAATCATCGCTTATTAATTTGACGTTGGCGAGACCGTCGATGGCGTGGGCGGAGGGGCCGAGGGACGAAGGGGAGCTCGAACGCCGCGCCACGGGACGTCCCCCAGTTAGTTATCCCCCAAGTGGACGCTTCGCGAGCGTCATTAGCATCCTTTTTTTTTGCTTCTGCGCCCTGACTAATGCCTGATTAATGATGAAAAAAGTGAGCCGAGCACCGTACTTATTCTAATGGCGCGAGAGCGACGATCCTCTCCATCTCCTTGAGGTGAGTGCGTTAACGCGTTTTCAAGCTTACAACGAGTTTGTGATCCTGGATTTTGCCATTTGACTGTACCGGTGGCTTTATAATGGCCAATAAAATTTATTAATCTCCTATATGAATACTTAAATTTGAAATAGTGGTTTTTTTGTTGAGCTGCTTTAAAAACGTTGCCCGAACGAAAGTTACATCAGCAAGCTAATTTTTTCTTTTGTTTTCATTTGCTTTTGTTTTTGTTTTTGTTTTTTTTTTTAATTTTTGTTTTTGTTTTTTTTTTTTTTTTTTTTGGAAAATATTGCCCACGCTAAGATAATTTATTATTTTCAATTAAAGCCGAACGGAACGCCTTAATTCATAATTGCCAATGAAATTCTTACTCACTATTACATCAAATAGCCTAATGGCACGTTATTATGTTGTCATTATTTGCTGAAAAAGGAATTCTTTTTGAAAAGCGTGTAGAATAATATTTCTACGGGCTTAAGTATTACATATCTTTAATGTTGATTAACATTAGTATTAAAGTATCGACTCGAAGGGACACTTGTTCAATTGAATTTTCCAGTTAAAAAATGCAATTACTATTTGAATATCTTTATGTGATCGACAGCTTTTAACCTTCGATTATGCGGGACGTTGTTTATGTTATAGGAATAACAAAAATTTATAACAATTATGAATCATTCGAATAATATTAATTTTATTTTAATAAGCTTCAGACGAGATTATTGAGCAAATATACTAATATATTAAGAAAAGAAAAAGAAGAGAATGAAAAAATAAGAAGAATAAAGAAAGAAGGAAATTTAAATAATAAGAAATTTTATGTAAGACTTATATCAAAAGTATGTATGGTATATGGTATAATATATGGTATAAAATAAAATAAAGTAAATGAAATAAAATCAAATAAAATAATAAAAAATAAAATAAAATAAAAGAAAAGAAAATAAAAAACCAATATATGGTATAAAGGTAGAATGTTGGTAATCGAACGAAAATCCTACATTTATGCAAATACAATAATTTTTGTAACAATTCCCAAAGAATTCATATCCAATGAGTTAAAATCTCTTATAAATGTGTTAATTTTCATTGCTAATTTCATGCAAAAATAAAATAAATCTCTTATTGTAATTTTGTTAAATAATCGGCATCATTGGGATTACATCATATACAAATGTAATTACACATTAGAAGTGTGAATTTAATTTACAAAACATGTGCCCGTTATCAACTATCAATTATTAAACTTCGCAGAAATTTTGAACAAAATCTTTACAAGCACGATTACGTTCGATTGAAAAATTACAAACAATTAGAAAATTTTTTTAATACCTTTTACCAACAACGACTAGACAAATTTTGACAATGCAAATTCAACGCAAATTGCTAATAAATTGAATAATTGACGATACCACAATTAAATTCGCGATATCACTGATTTGTCGATAAAGCTCCGATAAAAATTATGTAAATAATAGTCGTAAACAGACAGCACTGGCAATACAATAAAAATTTGATTCAATTGTATTTAAAATAAAAATTGGCAAAAAATATACTTACTACGCGTTTCCCGCGCGCGCGCGCGCGCTTGCTCGTGAGCCTCCATGTGTTTATAAAATATTTTAATTTCTTAGAAAATTTCGATAAGAAAAATAGCTTTGTATAAACAATGATAAGTTTTATCGGTAACCAAATTTATTTTAAGCAATCAAACGTTAACAAGAGAACTCATAATGAAGTAGCACTTTATGATTATTGATTTCTTAGTCGAGATAATAATTCTGAGGTCTCAATCAAGCAGGTCAGTAACTACTGGAATACAGATGTTCAATCATTCGCAATCGTCGTTATCTTAAATATTACAAAGTAAAGTCAAGTAGTACGATTCCATCGCCATTAACGTTATATTTTCATTGGTGCGCTGCGTGCGACTAATGCAGCTCGCCTCCCAATAAGGGGAGCACCCGCGCATCGGGCCTAGTCTCGTCGCTCCGCAATATCGCGAATAGATGCCAAAAGCTTCAAGGCGAAACCATCGAGTCGAGCGCCTCGACGTGACTACTGACGAGTATCGG